GATCGGAGTATGCGATTTTTTGGACCGGTCTTTTCTAACCCGTCCGTCACGAAGAGACTGGGCCTTAGCCTGGTGTGGTGGTTTGTTTGGCTCGGCGACCCATTGAGCTATACTGAGGGGTGTCTGCGCGACACACAAAGTCTGTCATACTAGGTTGGTCAATAGGTAGGGGTCATCACGGTCATCATCAGTGACATCAGTGTTCAACACCGATGTTTCGCTGCCGTATGGGTAGGGGTCTGACGAACACAGCCTCCTGGCTATCCAGGTTGGGGGTTGGAATATGTGTGATGACCTGTTCCGTAAAATGGTAATATACTTGCATTTCCGGCCCAACACCGCTGCCTTTCGGTTAGGCTTTTGAGCCCAAGGCTCTGGTTGAGGACTCTAATCGTCCTCCTGTCTAGATGTGGGCGACCTGGCAGTATTCCAGCTGTCGTACACCTATGACATTTACAGTTATCAATCCAACATTGATGATATTTCAACTCGTTCTTCCTCAGGGGAAGGCAGCACCTCTGCTTCCACAGATATGGACATGGTGGTCGCCCGGGGGAAACGCCTTACTGCCCTCACACTCCTATCGCAAAGGGCAGTACGACTTTACCTCCAGATCACCTCGCAGTACGATTACTAGCAGCACAGGGACTCGCTGTTCTTCGTCGGACTGCTCCCCACTGGCCTTCTTGACATGGTTGAACTTTATGAACTGAGCTCCAGCCGGCTTGTCCCACAGGATCATTGCAGCACAGAAGCCCGACCACCAAGAAAACGTGACAGCTTTAGGTCAGGTGAAATCACATCTTGGGATAGCTAATGTATTTAGATTATGCCGACAAAATCGCCTTGTTATTAAGCGATCAATTATCTCTTCAAGCGAGATCGCTCAGTTGTAAGCGCTAATTTACTGACCTATGCAGCTGGACTTCTCCTGTCTAAGCTTGGGTCACCTAGCAATATCCCAGCCCTTTTGCTTCCTTCGGGTGGCATGAAAGGATGCTACATCTGGACGACTAACAACTCTGAGCGGAGTATCGGAGCTGTCTTTGGCGTGCGTCTTTCACCTATAGACTG